ACCGGCCGCTGGCACGCGCTCCTGTGAGAGCCTCTGCGTAGTGCCTGGAGGCCGCGGAGAAGCTTCTCTCCGTTTTCCACTCAGCCTTCCCCCAGAGGCTGTCTGGGACTTCCAACCGCGGAGCTTGGAGAAGCAGCGGACGCAGGCCGGGACAGCGGGGGGCGGGCAGCGGGGCACTTTGCATCGCGGGAGCCACCAAGCGCCTTTGCTGCAGACCCGGGTGCTTGGTTGCTCCTGCGATGCAAATTCCCTCCCCCCCCTGCCGAGGCCGACCGCTGCCCTGCTGAGCCTCACCAGGTATCAATCTCACCACACGTCACTGAATTCAGCTGTGTTGGAAGTACACCCCAAAAGGACAGTGCCAGGAACCACTAAAGCAGTGTAAAAAGCTTAAAACAACCCTTCCCTTTAAGAAAGCAAGCCCCAGAATAAAAAAGTACCAGCAAAAGAAAAAAACTCCAGAGAAGCCACTCAGGCTATAAAAAATCTGCCAAGAACCATTAAAGGCTGTTACAGTGCAACAAGGCTTAACCTTGGAGGCAGTTTCAGAAAACACTTAAGCAATAAAGATAAGCAGGATTAGAAACAACACACAGAGGAACACCAGAATGTCTCCTTCCTTCCTTCCTGATAGGATTAACCCTGTACAGTGGGACAAACAAAAGGTTGTTGGAAGGAGATTTCTTCCAACAGGCGGTTCGCCAAACTGCTCAGAAAGTTAGCTACTGGTTCTCCTGAACTGGTGTGAACCAGCTGAATCCTACCACTCGGCATACCCATTACTACTATAACTGTCCATCATCTTTCCTGTTGATTCACTTCTTTGCAAAATCATCTTTTTGCCAGTACTAAAATCACAAATCTGATTTTCTGATATTTCACAGAAAAATAAACCTGACATGCAAATTATGTGTTTAAGTGTATGCTTTCTTTCTGTTTCTTCTATTTCATATGAAAGTTCAGTTTAAAAAGTTATTAAGACTGTTCATTTATTTCTATAAAACGTTATAATTCTTTCTAAAATTGTAAATAGATCTAGAGAATTTTCCCTATTAATTGCTGAAGAATATTAATATAGATATGATATTTTAATGTGTTATATTATATGATGACTATATGGGTAGAATTGTTGTAGGAAGTAAGATACAGAAGGAATGAATAGAAAAATTGAGAGGATATTTTGGTAGATAATTAAATTTAGACAGATTTTAATAAAGTTCATGAGGTAGGTTAAAATTAAAGCTATAATACTGGCATAGATAACTTTGGAATACCATAAATTGTATTTAGTCACCTGAGAATGATCATATGGGCATGCTCATCAGCATATAAACCGAAGCATTATTATTTAAAAATAGAATTATTCTGTAATAATAATAATAATAATGGAACAGTGAGTATTCCATAGTTTTAAAACCTTGTCTTGTATTGAAGTTCACTGTTTGATTGTTGAGGAATAGTGAACTGAAAACTAGATGTTGTGCATATACCCGAAGAATTTAAACTTCTCTAAATTCAGTGTCATAAGAGAACTCAATTATAGGTTGCATTAAATTAAATAAATTCTGTAAAATTCTTCAAGGATTTCCCCATACATATAAAATACAAAAATACACACTTAGTAGATGTTGGAAATTAATCCTGAAATTGCATTTATAATTAATTTATTTTATTTCTGAGTATCAGTCCAACCTGTCATTATAACCAGCCAACAATTAAGTTTTATTTTGTCAGTAAGAGTGCTGCTAAAAAAAATCAATAAACTTCTGAAATGCCTGATAGCATAACATGCATGATAATGAACAGAACATGTAACAGAAATGCTGCATTCTGCTTATTTTTGAAAGAGCATTTTTAAAACAAAGAAAGAAATGACAGAACTGCTACTGATATTTAAAAATGAAATTTCTTATGTAGTAGTTGTATGAAATACTTTACAAATGCAAAAATAAAAGTCACCTGTTCAACTAAAACTGCACCATCTAAGAGAGATTTCTGGCATTTCTTAATTATATAGTTATATATCTGCAGTATTTCATTATAAACAATTAAGTCAGATCTTTTACTAGATATGAAGGTTAAAGAAAAAATAGCTTTCTTGGTAATTTAGCAGGGAGGATGGCTAACTGTAGATAGTAGAAAAGGAAAAATATATTTTGTTTCCTTTTATCCTGAGATATTTTATTGGGTAGAGGAATGCTCATGCTATATTTTTCTATGTTTGTAAACTGTTATTTGGACAGTCTAATTCCTTCTCATCACTTTCATTTTCTAAATTTGTAATTAATTTTCAAACATTGTGACTTTCCACTGCTCTTAATCATAAATGATAGCTTTTCAGTCTTTGTGAACTAAAGGATTGATTTAATGATTTTTATGTACAATCATGTCCACATACCATTACAGCTGCCAATCAAATTACTAGTGCCTTTCTCCAGTGTAAGAATCAAATGGTAATCCAAATGAAACAGTCATTCTAGAAAATAGCAAGTATTGCTAACTAGCAATGACAGAAACTATCACAACCACTAATCCATGATTCAGTCATGGTTAAACATTCTGTAATCACTATTGGAGCAGCTGCAGCAATTGCAGGTCCCTAGCACCTAATAACAGCCTCTGTGCCTGAGAAATATGGGAATACAAGTAAATAAACTGGGTGGGATTTCCAATGAGTAATGTTGGTAAGAGAGATGACATGGGTTTACACTTGAACACTTGAACCAATTGTGCTAATTCTATGGTACCCTTCAGGGATGATATGAGGTTAATTAAAAAAAACCAGTGTATAAAATTAACACTGCAAACAATAATATAAATATGAGACTAAAAATTACTCCACTTCTGATAATTGAAGACAAGTACTAAGCAGATCAAGGCATGTTTGGCTTCCTGTCTCAAATTAGTTTAGGTTGACAAGGTCTACAAAAAGAGCTTTTTCTGCTATGGTCCATTTTTTGGAATATCTTGCTATCTGAGAAGAGGTCTGTCCCACCCTTTTTGACTTCTGCAAGGGCATGAAAATCAAATTCTGCCAGGCAGCCTGAGATCCTGACAAGGGTACTCTTTGTCAGAGGTAGCTGGTGGATTAACAGAAAAAATGCTACCATTGTAGTGATTGTGCCTTTACCTCTTGTCTCTGTATCTAATGTTTTTAAGGCAGAAAGATAGACCAACAGACAGACAAATGCCTGAAGGAATATCTAGAACTTTACTGAGGGGTCTTTTTTTGCTCTCTGAGCTTGCTTGTTTTCTTGCAGACGTTTCATTACTGAAACTAGATGAACTCCAAGATTAACATCAGACCAAAAATGAAGTAAACAATACCCCAATCAAGAAACTGCCGAACAAGCCAACAATTAGCAACCCAATCAAAAAACCAACAAAACTCTCACCA